TAAAAAAATACAGATCAAATTTGATTTAGTATTCGACCAAACAGTGACCATAATTAGCCACACTGACCATTGGAGAACCATAATTATAAAACCGACTCGCCAAAAAAATATAAATCCACACAGATTCTAGTACTACTGCTCCTACTACTACTACTACTACTACTACTCCTCCTGCTCCTACTGCTACTACCACTACCACTACCAGTCTTACAATTACAACCCCCCAAAAAATAACATTGCGAGGGGGGGGCCCTTATTAATACGGTTCTGAGATTGTTGTATGCATCCACTTCGAGATACTTGGTGCCCAGTGTAGTTCTCTTGGTCAGCGACAATCACATAGAAGTGTAAATAAAAGTTATGACAAAACACCCAAGTCCTCACGATCTCAGCCCCCGGTGTGCCCATCAAACAGGATGATATACAATGATATTTATATATATACATAGGGAAACATCTTGTATGGATAGGCCGTGTTCGCTCCAGAGCCATAGACCTCGCAACCGAACACAGTAAGGGAAACCTGCCCATCAGCTTATCTACTGCTCAAGCCATGCGCATTCCTGAACCTCGCTAACGGTCAAACGCTGAAAAAACCGTCGGGGAGCTATACAGCAGCTCGAAGAATCTCCGCAAACGCTTGAAAGGCTCATGGCCCTTTTTGTCCTCGGTTGGCTCAGGCTCACGAAATGGTGAAAACCAGGATTCAGTGCTCAGGAGTATCAGGCCGTGTCGTGAATCTGCGCGTGGCTGTTTTCTTTTCAACCCACAGCAGTGATGAAGCTGTGTCCACCTTGCCGCAACTTCCAAAACAAACGGCTTGGAAATTGTTGCTATTGGTTGCATATCATGTCTCGCCCACCTGCCCCATCACATATTCATATTACGCATGAAACGCCGGGGGCAGGCCCACTCGGACGACCAAAGCCATCCGTGAAGACGAGCTTCAACATTGCAAAGCCACTGCAGAGCAGAGATGGAGACGGCGCCGTCAAAGGTGCCGGGTCGGAAGTTCAGGCCCTGCCCTGGCGGGTCGAGAGTGGAGTTCTTGTCCGTGTTGCTAGTTGACCAAAAGACCAACCTCGTTTTGGATGGCGCCCTAGTTCTGAACCCCAGATCACATGTTGCACCCCAAACATGGCCCCCCATTTCTCAGCTTGTCGGATGGGGGCGGGATGAGCCGGATGGAGCCAGGATGAGCTGGCGCCTGTGCTCACCTCCAAACATAGAGAATGTCTAACGGATTTTCTTAATTTCTGAGAGATCCAACTGCACACTGAGACCTCATGGACCTATATAATTCCAAGCCACTATCAATTAGAAGATATTTGACAAATCTTTCGAAATATGCTTCCAGGAATTTGCCAGGAAAGGTTCAACCAGAAGGATATGGGCGTGTATTAAAATGGGGAGCAAAGACTCCCTGAAAGAAGGGAACAGACCAAAACCCATTGTTTGGGGTCCCACTAATTAAAACATATACCCATATGACCATCATCCAGAGGGTTCTGAGGCATTCACCATGCTACCAGCATTTTGCGTGGCATGTCACCATGGAAAGTAAAATCTTGGAATACAGCGTACGTCCGGGCTAGCCGGAGAGAAATGTCTGATTTCTGCAAAGTTCTTGATTATATAGTTTTATAGGAGGACCTTTTGCATGTGGCACCATTATTTGACTTATGTTGGGTGTTCTGGTGAATGTCTTTTTGCCTGGTGCCTGCCACATGAAAGCCTGCCAATTTGGATCCAGAATCAAACAAAATAATGAGTTAGTTGATGTATTTCCTCTACTTGATATGCGCAGTTGTCTGTGAAATCTGTAATGTTCCAAACTTTTGTCCAACATGCTTTGTGTTACAGTGATGCTGTATTAATCAGTATTGGCCCGACCCTGCACCAAGCAAATGAGGTATTTCCAGAGCTCTTGCTTTACTCAAGTTGTTGGTCTAGTTTGGTCCCTGGAATTGCTTGATAATTTCCTTGAAATTTTGTTTGGGCACCCTTCCAGATTCATTTCAATTGGACAAATATGGATACCCCATGGATACCCCGCAATCTGCCTGAATTTCTTCTAATTATCAAAGAGGTTCCAACAATACCCCTCTTCAGAGTTGCTGGAGGCTACGCAAGACTAGGTGGACTGGTCCTAGATTTTCCGGCTACATCACTACATCGTCGATGTGCTTGTCACAGTCCAGTGACCAAGATGAAAACCCAAGAGAAGAGGTTCATGTTCTTAACCCGCAGAGGAGCAGAACATAGCCGATGTTGCGTGTCGACACCCAGTGTACACTGTATACACTTGAGCACGCCTGCATCTGCCAAAAAGAGATCTCCGTCCACCTGGCGCAAAGCAATACATGTAACATAACTGGATGACTCATGAAGTCTTGTATTCTTAAACGAGTTGAAGCCCCTACCAATCCTAATCCCTCCCAACAGAACCATAACCCCTACCAACTGGTTACCATTATTGACCCACCATTGTTCCCCTGTCCAGTTCTGGGTGACAGTGCCCCAAGATTTGCTTTTTCACACGTGTTTTTTTTCTGTCGCCTCGCGGCTCCGGGCGATGCGGAGCATCGACGGAGAGATGTCATAGCCGACCCAGAGATGTCCAGCTTCGCCTCAGTCGAAGTCAACATGAGCGGCTTAGGTTGGAATGGGTTGAGGAGACCTCACAGGTTGACTTGATTTGCTCGCTTTGGCCATGGTCCAAGGAGTACCCAGCTGATTTCATTTCCAGTCCATGTCTTGGTCTTCGTTGGTCGGACCGGTCCACGCTTGTCTTCGCAGGTGCCGGTCCTCCCCGACCGCCCAGGTCCCGCTGGTCATTCGAAGGCACTGAGGGTCTCTCCACCTCGGTCAAACTGGAGAGCGGCGCGGCCGACGGCGGGGCGGAACGTGGGCGCCAGGAGTTGGGGTATGTTGGGGTCACAAGTTAGGCAGCAAGTTGGTGAACTGTTGGCAGTCCAAGATTGTGTGGTTGTGGCTTGCTGGGCGTTTGACTGCTTTTTTTGGTGGAAGGCGGGTAGCAAATAATTAGTTAGTTACAACAAAGTGATCAGAATGCAAAGCAAACTGTTGTGGATTGTGGGGAGGTGTGGGGACACCTCCACCGTTTCGTTTGTCAGAATAGGAGCCCTGTTGTAGACGAATTCGGCCAATTGGGCGAACCCGAACGAAGCCACCACAGCCATCCCAATTGTGGTCCAGTGACTAATACCGGAGCCACAACCGACGTCCAGTAAAAGGCAGGGCCGGTCTGGGAGCAGCAACAGCTCCAGGGCACGTTCCGTCATCCTTGGTGTGACACCCCTTTGAAGGACCTTGGCGTTTCTATGTGCTTATGGACGTACATTTGTTAGGCCAACCCCACAAACAAATCCTTGCAAAACAAGTGAGAGATCGCTTTGAATCCGTGGTGTGAGTGGCAATTCCAATGTAACAATTGCAACATATCGCATATATATATATATATTATCACATCGTGCAAACGCCGCACCCGTTGGTTGGCAAACTTCATAGTAGCCCACAACAAAACGCCCCTCTCCCAGAGATGGCGCAGGGGCATGCTACGTGAGCTATCGGATTCAATTGCAAGTGTGGCATGAACCACAGTGAGTGAGAGCCTGCAACGACCACAGTGCTCTCTAGTGCTGTTCTGCGACGACGACCTCCGGGCAGGTCGGTTCCAGGTGGAGACCCCAACCGGCCCGGTTACGGCTGCACGATGTGATGATTGGATTCTTCCACGGCTGCGCGATGGCCGTACCAAGCATCTTGGTCTGGATCTCGATCATTCGGCTGCTGGTGGCATACCTTTCGGACCTGAGTGTGGCATCGATAATATGAGATTATCATCGCATAGCGTTCCAGGTGTTTGACTTACTCGTGCTTGATGTTGAAAGCTGAGATGGGTATGGCCATTGATGGTGCAAGGACCATTGTGCAGACGAACATGCACCCTGAAAATGGACCCCTTTAAGACTATTCTCATCCACCACCAAGTGGTTTCAGGGTCCATGTTAATCTGCGCATATCTGCGCGATGGTACATCTGAGGTCTCAACTCCTCATCGTTGTAAAAAATCTCCGGAGGAGCCTGGAAAGCGCGGTGGGAGATGGGCGCGCGAACAATTGCGCGATACATGGTGGTTGCCCACCCCGAGCTCCATCATGTTGCCCACCCCGAGCTCCCTGAGAGACAGAGACCGTCGGGGATGATGGTATGGACTTCCAAAACTAGGATGGTCTACGTGCTCGTGGGGTGCTCGTGGTGTGCCAGGGTGTGCCCGGCAAGCTGTCGCACCACCTGGACCCGTTCGATCCAACCGGGCCACGTGAAATGTGGAGAAGAACCTCGACAAATGAATCGCTGATGACGCTGATCTGTCTACACAAGAAAAGTCAAGGACTTCAAACAACACTAAGCAACCCAGTCATCCCGCTCTGCGTTCCAACACAGCTCCGCCTGATGCTCGGGCCTGCTCATGATGCCACAGCGCGCGTTTTGACTGCAGGAAACAGCTGCGGCGAGCTCAGCGTTGGTCCTATTGGCTGCTGATTGAGGGATATGTTACGAAGCACGGCTGTTTGATACTCCATTCTCATTCGCAATCGTTCTGTTTGTTTTTCATCACCCATTGGCCACGGCGGCAGTTGGAGCTGCACACTTTGTTGGTAGCACAGCTCGCAACACAGCTGGGCTAGTATACATGTGGTGGTTGCTTGCAGTTTGTATGTAGACACCAGCTCACACACTCGGGTCTTCCTCAACGTGGACCGGGCTTAAGGACCAACCAGGCAGTGCAGGCGGTGGAGAGAAAAAAAACATATGTTCAATCTTTTCGGTGCCCGACTTGGCATCATGTAGACCACAGATTGATCAACCCCCGCCTTCCCCAGACATGAGTTGTAAGGCCTCTTCATATGCGGTTTCTTCATGTTTCTTCCTTCAAGCGTCACCACTCTCATCTCCCCTCTTTCCCTTCCGGCCTCCACGTGCAGGAGCACCACATGGGAGCTCAGAACAAATCCGCGCCTCCGCTAGACGCGAAGACGGCGGTCGGCGGAGAGCACGTGGAACGTGCGGACGATGTTTCGGTTGGAACCAAGAACTGCGTACTGCTCAGCCGCTAGACACAGTCATAAGCTATAGTGTCTATAGACTTGTCTATAGGTAGATGAGCCACTCAAGTCACCAGATCCTCTGTTCGTTTCCGTCCAAGCGGCGGCAGCTGACGCTGCGACTCGCTCACGGCCTCGCGGACGCTAACTAAGAAGGGTTTCGGGGGGGTTGGGGTGGGGACAATAACTAGGTGTAACGGTGTAACCCTTGGAGAAAACACGATCTATGTCTTGATTTCATATCTATATATATATATGTTGTATATATATATATGTGTGTGTGTGATACATACATAAATATATATATATATAACACATATATATATATATGTGTGTATATATATATAACATGCACTACTAACTTAAATATAAGGTAGGATAGTACAACGCAACGGAATATGGCATCACACAACGTAACATCAATATATAATGTAATGCGCACTCAGGATTAAGTAGCCTCCCCTTATTAATCAAGCCCAGCTGGAGCCTCCAATACTAAACTAACTGAATTTCCACTTTGACATCCCCCTACTTTTGTTCCTTGGCCAAAAACCTCCCCATATTAGTTGTATCATTATTTTTGTTGGGCAGTATCCAATATCTGTTGGTCCATGGTGAAAACTCATCTTCCATCACAGAATCCCATCAACCATCATCCATTATCAGGTCCAGTCATCATCTTATCATCCATCATCAGGTCATCACCTTTATTAAGGGGATGTGGTCTCCAATTCCCTCCAATCTCAAACGTTGTTGGCCTTGAAGGGGGGGTTGATTAAGCCGGTGTTGGCATTAATATGTTAATAAATACAATTGATACTGATATTTGTATTATTTGTATAAATGCGTGGGCGGGCACATGCATGAGGTGAGCGGATGATTCATCTGAGACCACGTTTCTCAAAACCTGCCCTCGGGCCCTCGGAGTAGCAAGTGATGAGAACACATTGCTGGTGCCATTGCAAAGGGAAGCACACCTAGAGGTATTTCTGATCGAAACGCTCATACACTCCCCGAAATAGTATATGATGTAGTATATGAAATATATTCTGAAATATTATGAAAGAATCACGGAAGTGGAACAAACTCCCGTCGACGGGTCGGTTGAGCCGCGGAGACCGGACTCCGACTGGGTCACCCTCGCACTCTTCAGCTCGCCGCGATAAAAGCGCCAGGAAGAGAAGGACCTCGGCAGGATGCAGCGGTGCAGCCGATACTGACAGCCTTTCATGAACTCATGGAATGAATTGCCCAGTCGCATACCAGTGGTACCATCTGGCAAGGTGACCCTGCATAGGCAAACGCGGCTAGAGTTCCACTCGTTGTCACAGGGTGACCCCTCTTTGACCAAATGCGCAGATAGGTAGCAGCAACAGTGGCTTTTCCTCGTCACTCCAGCTGATTCATCATCCCTCCAGTGGCATCAGGTCAGCTGACTCGGAAGCACGATTTGAATGGAGGGCGGTCTAAAAGGAAACAACCAACCCGGTGATCCGCTACTTCTTTAAGTCCTTTCAGTTTGCCTCTTGCCTCATGGAAACAACATTTTTCTCATTGCAAAGCTGCAAATTCCCTAGTGTAACCTCTGATCAGGTCAGCCATCTGCAGTGCGCTGATCCCTTTGGGGCAGGTCACGCGATCTGCGGGTGCATGCGGTATTGCTCGCTGAGGAACTGCACCTGACGGCGAACAGTTCCAAGAGCTCACAAAACTTTCAGCAAGGGCAGGGTTCAGAATTTCATTGGTCCGTCTCGGCCTAAGTTGCACTTCAGCCATCCTGAGCCTGTTGATAGGTTACCCCGTGGGTCATGTCGCTAAGAACCGCTAATAGAATGGTGGGATCGGATACATGCACTCCACTCCAAGTTCAAGGAAATATATAAACTCCTCAAATTTCAGCTCCGGATCCCCTTCCGTGAGCGATGAACACAAGCATTGCAACGGACATGCCGTTCCATCTGTGCCCGGTTTGTGCCGTTCTGGGTGTCTTCGCCGCTCCGGACTCCACCCGGCCTCCATGCCCATGGAGAGGAGCCGGTCGAACATTGAAATGTCTAGGCCTGCCATGTCCAGTCGAGGTGGTCGAGGTGAGGAGACAGAAATGACATGCTCAGACTGAGAAAGAGACACCCTCTCCAAGTGCCCAAAAAAACCAAGAGCTCAATCTGACATGTAGGAAAAGGCGTCATCTTACACCTGACTGGAGAAGGCTTTTTGGTCTATTCCACATACAACTTCAAGATAAGCTAAGTCAAGAATGCTGCCACAGGTGTTCGAAGCAATGAAACGCACAATCAAGACATGAACCCCAATAGCTCTGGCCCCATTGTCTAGCAGCATCCTGCTCCCCGTGGTCGCGCCTCCTTTCTGCGCCTCCTGGCGTCTTTGCGGTTGGCCCCGAGTGGGCGAGCCTTTAACGCTTAGAACAAAAGGGTAGTGTCAAAACAGGCCAAGCAACCACAAAATAATATAATATCCCCCTTAATGAAGGACAGGAGAGTGATAAAACCTGGCATGTGTCTTTTGTCGGGCCCACTTTAACATCCTTAATCATAGGGCGGCTGCAATGCATTCATCCTTGTATATAGCACGGCCAGCACCATGAGTGGAGACAGCACTGTTAGTTATTAGTCATTGGGCCCACTCCTGCCCAAATGGACTGGACCTCTCCAACCCCAATGACCCCTGCTGACCCTCCTCTCTCTCCCTTCCTGCTCTATCCCTCTTCCCTAGCCCCCGTCCTCCAAAGAAAACAAGTGCCCCAACAATCCCAGAAAATGGAAGGCAAACGCTGCTGATGACAAGAACGCTTCCCGAACTGCACAAAGAACAAAACACACACAAAAAAACAGATAGATAGATAGATAGATAGATAGACAAATAGTTTAGATAAATATATATATATATATTATATGTAGAGGACTTGTATGTATATATATATATATAAGTGACTCCTTGGGTTGTACCAACGCCCTTCCCTCCTGGGAGAGCACGGTGGCCGGCAACTGACACTGGTCGCCAACCTCGCAACATCACCAGCACACGACGTTTCTCAACGCCCGGCCAGAAGGCCCGGGTGGGCCTCGCGTGGAAGAATTGAACAAACAAATGGTTGACCTGTCGTAACGTCCTTAGTAAAACAGTGCCTTGTGGTGCTTTCAATGTGTGTAACATCCTTAGTAAAACAGTGCCTTGTGGCGCTTTCAATGTG